CCCTGAGAGTGAACCAAAAGGAAATGTCACGAGGCAATGTTCCCACAACAGTCAATTTTGCAGTGCTGTATGACAGCAGAAAAGCATGAAATACTAATGCTTCACATCTAGGACTTACCAAAATCTTTATCGGCGCTTGTTGCATGGAAAATTCCAGAGTATACCGATCCATTTTTGACCTGGACTTCTACATGATGTCCAATTAGACAGGTTGTCAAATACACAAGCCGATCCCGTGAAGGACTCTCAGACCCTACAATTCTGCTGCCACTTGTTATACCTGCATCAAAAATAAAATTATTAAGTTGCAAATGGAAAAATAGTAGAGCACTTATATTAGAGATCTTCACCTGCACTTGTCACTCTATCAGGATTTGACTTGCCAGGCTGTGATTTAATATCCATCCTATTGCTGTTCTCTTTTTCAACTCTGCGGCGATTAAAACCATTGGCAGAAGTTCTTGGCTGTGCAGCTTGCTGCAGGTTCATGCGGAGCAGACTGACACAACCCCCCTGATGGCAAAATTATTAGGGTTAGAAGCAGCAAATACACTGTGAAAGTGTAAAACATCATATCACCAAGACCAGCTAAATGCACCCTGAAAGTAAAGTTCATCTAAGGACACAAAGGCAATACGTAATAGATTGCCTCCCTTCCACTTTGTCTACAGACTTCAATTATGACACTCAAACTAATATTTACAGCAGAAAAGCATCAAATACACAAATGTATCATCCACTTGTTTGTAGTAAATCAAGATGATCACAAACACAAATACATAATATAAAACAAAATCACTACTCAAAGAGAATCCTGCTGCTGGATAACCAGCAAGAGCACGTTAATAACATTAAAGGCCTTAGGTTAGAGTTTTTGGGGGCACTGGTCTATAAATTATAGTAATCGAGCTTTTATAAAACAAGTCATAAAGTTAATTGTAAAAATATTAAAACTTTAAAATTAAAATCTCACCCTGAATGGCTGAAATGATGATTGGACAAAAACAATCATCGACTAAATATAGATAAATCACATCAAGGGGGGAATAAACCAATCACCTAAAGTCAAATGTATGATACTAAATAACAAAAGGAAGGGGAAAAATAAAGCCTTTCTAATGTATTCCCAAATCATTACATGGTTTCACCTTCTTTCTTTTCTATTTCTTGCTCCTTACTAAACCTTTCAACCAAATGTCAGTCCAAAACTTCTACTAAATCAAGTTCTAAGCTTTATAGTACAAGGACATTGTCGATTTGTTATCATGCCATTTTTTTACCAATTTCATGATGCATGGTTAATTGAAATGTTCAGAATTATCTGAAAAAATCAAGACGAATATCTAGTTAAGACTGGAATTCTATGCGTAGAATAATAGATGTCTGATTCTGTAATTTCTAGATTTGGCAATATTTGACTATTTATTCACTTTTATGACAATCAAACTAACATGAAATTAACCTTACACTACTAATTATATTGAACTTCAAAATGATAAAATTATTGTTATAATATCATAATAATAAATCATCACAACTCACACTTTCTTTACAAAATTCTTAAGCTATGATCTGATCAACAGAGGCAGAAAGAAATATTCAAACTTCAACAAATCAAACATTAAGTAATGGTACACAATTCGAATAACTTTTGTATGGCTTAAATTTACACTTTTATCTTCAATTTAACCTATATAATGCTCCATTTCAAGAATCACCCAAACAGCACGGAACCCGCTTAACAGCCACCAAATAACAATCGAACAATAATGCTGATCAAATCAACGACCGTTCTTCGAAATCTAAACACATAGTGCTACTTACTTGGCAAAAACAAATCAAATAAAATACTAGATCACTTAATTAGTTTATTAATCATACTACTACTATTCCAACTCAAGCTCGACTCATGCTTAAATAACCCCAAATTATTTCAGATCGGCTTGATTAGGCTCATAAACATCACACAAAATTCATCTCGCTAAAGAAAATCAACACAAATTGCATAAAACAAAATTCTTGCAACAAAATCGTTTGTTTTAAGCTTCCACAACTTCAGTTATTATAATCAATAGTTCAATAATCAACCTAATAAGAACCCTAAATTGATAAACTATACTAAAAAAAAAAAAAAATTAACGATAGTGTGAAATTAAACCCTAGATTGAGCGATTAATAATCGACGAATTGAAGAATAATAATAATCTTACCTCGGAAGCAGCTTCAATGGAGGATAGAAAGCTTAGAAGGCGCTTCAATGGAAAACTCGAAGTACGCTTCAATGGAGGGAGGAGAGAGAGAGAGAAAGGTGCAAGCGTAAAAGTGAAATGCTTGAAATTGGAAAAACATTGAAAACAAGGATTAATTACACGCATATAATCTCAATCGTTAGATCTAATCATATCGACGGTCATTATTCATCCTCATATAAAATTGTATTCCAAATAAATTTGGATTTGTACATGAGGATTAGGATTGATATTTACAGTTTTCAAAAAAAAAAAAAAAAAAAAAAAAAAAAGGATGATATTTACAATTTTCAAATCAAAAAAAAATGATATTTAACGAATATTATTATTTAATTTTTTTAAAACAAATACTATTATTTAATTAATACTACGGAGTAATTATAATGAGCGAATTAATCATTTTAAATTAGTTTCATTTCAATAAAATTTAAGTTCAATAAAAATTGGTCAAGGGAAAGTATTTGCTCTTTAACACATGAGACCATACAACAAAAATATTGGTGAAGAAAATATAGCCTATCGGGTGAGGTACTGATTATTTTTTATTTTTTTAATGAGAATAAAAAGGATTTCATTAGTGAAAGATAGTCAAATGGCACTTACAAAGGGCTTCTTCATATTTACTGAATTAGGTTGAACTGAATTGAATTGAACTTAATAGAGTTGAAATGAATATTTTATGAGAGAAGAAAATTGGGAGTTGAACTGAAAAGATCTAAATTAAGCTGAAGTGAACATGTCAATTCTTATAAAATCTAAAATTCCAACACAAGTACAACTTGTCTTATAAATAGTTTATTTGATAATTTAAGTTAGGTAAATAAAAAATAAAATAAAAAAAGGATGTTATTCAAATTAATATTTCAATTTATGTCATATTTTTGTCACCTTAAATTTTGTTTAAGGTTTTGCCAAACAATCTAATCATTAAGGGTCTGTTTTGATTTAGTGAACTGAGATCAACTGAACTAAAGTGAATGGAGCTTAAATGAGTTGTTTATGAGCAAAGGAAATTAGGAGCTGAACTGAACTAAACTAAATTGATTGGAGCTGAACTGAACTATTAAGCTGAAAAAAAACATGCCATAAGTCATCTTAAATATTGAGATGTACCCAGTTAATTCCCCGAATAAACAAAATTTGTGGGGATTATAATTGTCTTTTCAAGTACCAGTGGAGAGATACACGCGCCTTTTTATGTACTAGTTGAGGGGTACAAGTGTAATTTCCTTTCCAACAGTAAAAGCAAGTTGCAAACAGTAATTGAACAACTCACCAAAATACTGAATAAATAACTACGCCTTTTCAATATATTTACAAAAATGCCACCAGATTAACAAAATTTCGTTTATCTAGCAGCTAAACTTGCACTTGCCCTTAAATATTTTCATTAAAAAAAAAAAAAAACCGTCTTAAAAATCTTACACTTGATCATTTAATGCCTTAATGGTGATGAAAATGTGTTATCAAACATAACATTAATCTACTTAGATCTACCTCAAGAGAAAAATAATATATTGTACGCAACTATGATTCATGATAATTTCTTTAAAAGTTATTTTTATTTTATAATGACACAATTTTACTTTTAAAACATAATTTTCGATTAGTATCTTAAATTATATACTCGTATCTTTCCTACTGTCCTGTCACTAAGTTCCCAAATTTTTATATGTACGAAGTAGTATTCTAATGCACATTCTAATCATTTACGGTGCATGTTAATTCTCCAACAAAATCTTACACATGCATAATATAGGATGAATTACATTTTTCGACCATTTGGAGTAAGAAAAATACAATTAGCTAAACCAAACAAATTAGCTTCACATTGTCACCATCACGATCACCATTGACATGACGGTGTTAAAGATCAAAGGATTTGAGACTTATGTTTAGAAGCTTAGGAATGAACTAAACTAATTTATTTGTGTGTCAACAATTTGAAGTGAATTTAAAAGTAAAGAGGCATGGAGTTTTGATAAAGGGTTACAAAAGTGATATACTTTGTAATCAACTAGAAATCTTAACATAAAATTTGCTAAAATCTAACCTACAATATGGATTTTTTTTTTTTTTTTTTGTCTTTTTTTTTTAAGAAAAATAAAACGCGATGCATTTAATTAACAAAAGTGATTAAACCTTTTTTGTTTTGAGCAAGTTGACTATTGAAACTATTGTACATCATTACATACACATTTAGGGTAAAAAAAATATCAACTGACTTATATATTTTTTTTCTTCTTCTTTATATTTATTGTTAAAGCTTAAAGATGACGTAATAGTTTTAGCGGTCATATATATAATCAGCTTAACCTTTTTAAAATGAACAAAGTTTAATTTTTGAGAGACAATATGCTTTGTACAATTTATCAAAAAGGGAATAAAACCAAACAAAATAGAATAACTAAAATGAATAAAATTCAAAAGTGTTAATCACGAAAGGGGAGTTCATTATTCAAAATATATAAATAAATAAATAAAGTGGAGTTCATTTAAATACGAATCTAATTTGGCAATGACAATAACTTAGCTAAAATGAATTGCTTAGTCAAAAGCTTATATGATATGACAAACTAATTTGAATTAGAGTTGCTTTAATTTTTATGTTAATAAAATTTATACTAAAAGGACGTGTCACTTAAAAACAGGAGTATATCCCCTAAGACCCAAAGTCGAGAGGGAAACAACCCAAATCGTATCTTGATCTAACCCTACCAGCAGGTATGAAAATGCATGTCACTTGATTTGCAACCTTTTGTATGTAAATATGTAATAAAAATCGCAAGGGGATTAATACAAATTTCTCCTCGACTCTAACGCGATAATTATTAATTACCCCCTTGACCTGGAGAAGTGCAGTAACGTTGCGCCTGCATTCCCTCTCTATTTCTATTCCACAAACCACAACAATTTCAATCTTCTTCTGTGATTTGAGGGAGAAGTAGAAGGGGAAGATGTCACTGACAAATGTAAAAATGTCGGAAGAAGTGTGGTTAACTTGCGTAACCCACGCATTTTCAACCGAAACAGAAGAGATCATGGGTCTTCTTCTTGGAGACATTGAGGTTTAGTCTCTCTCTTTTGACTCTTTCTGTAATTTTTGTCCAGATTTGGTTAATGGGTATTTGAATTTTGGTTATTTTAAGGTTTATTTTCTTTGTTTTTGATGAAAGTTATGTTCTTGCAATCTTTGGGTGTTTTTTTTTTTTCATGGGTTTCCTTAATTTTGTCATTTTCATTTCAATTTGTTTATTTGATGTTAATCTTTTAGCATGATGAAAGATGTAATTTTGTTCTGAATTTAAGAATTTAAAGGTTGGATTTTTGTTGTTTTTTTCAATGTGTAAGAAATAATTTGGTTTAGGGTTTGAAATTTGTTGAATTTTGGGAGTAAGTTAGGTTAGGGTGGGTTCTCAGACTTGTTCACTATTTGGGGTTTACCATTTCTCATCAATAAGGCAGAATTGGTTGTTTAATTTGGGCAGAATATGAAATTAGTGAGAGAGTTCTTTGAAATTTGAAAACAAAATTAAAAAGGTGGCAAAATTTCCCTTTTGGTTTAGTACTCGCCACATCTTTTGTTGTCAGATTTTCAGTATACTGATGCCATGATGGTAACTTAACAATTTCAGTGCTCGAGAGGTGGAAAAACAACAGCTTTGATATGGGGCGCAGCACCGCAGACTCGGTCTGATAGGAGGAAGGACAGAGTGGAAACTAACCCTGAACAGTTGGCTGCCGCATCAGCTATGGCAGAAATATCCTTTGTTTTTGTTTGTGTATGTTCAGCTAACGTCTTTAAATCCCTTTACTTTGTGTGGGGCTGTGAGCCTGTGAGTGATGAAGGAAGTTTCTCTTCATAAATTTGGTAGGTTAGGCAAAGTTAATTGGATTTTTAAAGATTGCAAAAGTAACAAATGGGAAATGAGCGCATTGAAAGAATATAAATCTACAGCCACCTGTGTAATCTTGTAAACATCTACACATGAGTGAACTTTGAAGTTTCAGATTTTTGAAAAATGTGCATGGAATTTTGGACGATTTGTGTAATTAACTAAATAGCACAGAATGAGCGCTTCAACTGGAAGACGAACAAGAGTGATTGGATGGTATCATTCTCATCCTCATATAACTGTACTTCCATCGCATGTTGGTAAGTATGGAATTGTGACAATTGTTACTTTCATTGTTGCTGTGGCCATAAGGGGCAGGAGCCAACCAATTCGACTCCTTGTCTATAGCTCTATACAAATCAGTGGTTTTTGGGTGCACATAATCTAGGTGTGGGACATTTATTAGGTATTGGTTATACTACATATATTCTGCATATCCAATAAAAAATATATATATTAATAAAAATTTAAATTTAGTGACATGTCATCTCCTCCCTACCTCTTCAGATTAAAATACCACCAAAAACCACTCTGTGTAAATCCTGCCTACTATGGGTCTGGGATTAAGGCTAAGTAGTTATCTCTTTAATATACTTACCATTTTAGGCTATAATCTAATTAGGTGTAGTTTTCTTGTCGCTCTCAATCTTGTTGAGTAATGTAATTCTTATTCTCTGCATGCATTACATCTCAATGTAATTGAAAATTTATTTTTATCTGCTTTGGAATACAAATTTTGGATTCTATTGACGTTTTAGGCTTTGCCTCTGGTAATTAATTGCTTAGTCTAATGCTGTGGTGGCTGAGATGATAATATTTGGTTGATTGAATTATTTTTAACATTCAAATGCACACACACATATGCAATGTACGTACGTATATGCATGTAAATTTTTTGTTTTTCAGAAAGGTGAGGTTGTTTGACTAATCTCTGCTGCATTCTATAGCCAATTTCTAGTAATTCAAATTCCAAACCGAAGTATATATTGCGCTCTAAGATTGGATAAACTCTGTGTTTGTCTTACTTTGTCCCGTGAATTGACATTGACTACCCTCTGCAGATGTGCGTACTCAGGCAATGTATCAGCTTTTAGATTCAGGTTTCATCGGGCTTATATTTTCATGTTTTAATGAAGATGCTTATAAGGTTTGTGTCAATAATATAAAAAAAAAACTTTAAACCCTTATTCTTGCACTTTTGTTGGAGCAATTTGTGAATTTTGTTGGCCAATATTCAGGTTGGAAGAATTCAAGCCATTGCATTCCAATCTTTAGATGGGAAGCAGAGTTACAATTCTAGGCCTATTACTATATCTCCTGTACAGAAAAATAACATTATAGATGTTGAATCATCTTTGAGTTCTGATGATGCATCAAGGTTAGGCTCTGGGAAGGGTGAAAAACCTGAACAGGACACAGGTGATTCAAGAACTGCTGCAACTAAGGTTAGACACAGAGTTGGGTATTTTCATTCAAACATGATGCCTTAGTGAATGACTTGCAATGAAAATGTTACATAGTTGCTGTCATAAGTGATGTTAAGGCATAATCTATGCTAGGCTTTGCACTATTCTTTAATGGATGCTCTGGGCAAGCTCTTTTGTTATTATGCACTTCAATACAAGTGTGCTGTAGTTTTCTTTTTCCACATGCTCAATCACTGAAAGATTAGTCTCCAGGGCTTCATCATTTTGGTTGTTATGAGATCTTGATCACAAGTGGATTTTATATATCCCCTGTATATACTTTATCGCATAATCTTTTATTTGTTTATAGTCCATTCCTTTGAGTTGTTCTTACCTTCAGCTTTTTATTACCCTTGTTAGTAACAATTGTTTACTTTCTTCTTCTTCTTCTGATATATATCTATGGTACTTCTTTTTGATGTGAATGACCTTTGATTTCGGAAGGATTATCTTGTGAGCTTATTCTTAAATGAAGGATTTACGAAAGTGCAAAGAAATTTGTTTTATATGAATGCCAATAGTAGTTGCTGCTGGTGCTTGTGTCAATAAAACATATAAGTTAACTCTCATTCTATTTTGATTATGTATTTTCCTCATGTATGTCCTGCAACTCCTGTCACTTGACTGAAGTTGCGTATCAGGAAGTCAACTAGATGCTTCTTCTGTAATTAGGAATTTTTTTGAGCTCCTCTTTCAATGGGTGTTATTTTAAAGTTTATCAACTAGCTGAAATTTTAATCCCCCTCCACCTCTTTGGAACATCTATATATTAAGTTTCTATATGACATGCATTTAGAAATTCTGCACTTATTACATGTGGAAGTAGCACCTTTTGGAAGAGAAGTGGTTTCAGTTTGTCATGTGTGTGACAGTGAATATATAATGACTAGCATGGGTTTATATGAAATGTTGTGTTGAAAATCCATGTGTACGTAATTCTGGTGGACCTAGCAAAGGATGGAAAAAAGTACGCTGGCAAAAGGAGCATTGTCTTGAATATAAGAGGGATATTGATTTGCAAAATTGGCAGTTGAAACTTATTCTAAAGAAGGATTAATGAGGGTTCCTATAAAGGCTATAATTTGTAGTTTATGATACTTTTTAACAATGGTTTGTGAGGAATGGTTTAACTTTGAATTACACACATTAAAGTAATCGACACTCAATCGGTCAATTGTGGTGTTTGTACTTCCATCTCCATGAGATGAGTGTTTCTCTTTCTCTTTAAGGCTTGAACGTGTAAGAATATATTCCCTCTTCTAGTGTGTGACATGTCAGAGAGCCTTTTTTGAGTTTTTTTTTTGGGTTGTCTTGATTCGACTTAATAGCATGACCTCCTTTGTGCAAATCTGTGTTGTGATTTTTATCAATTATCTTAAAATCTAGATGAGTTGGAACCAGAATAAAGATAAATGGGTCTCTTAAGGAACATCAATCTATAACTTTTTGTTGGGGTAGGTATAAGGGTAATTTTTCTTAATTTTTTATGATGCTTCTTTTGCTACATTCTAAACTCCCTGTTTGTCTACCTTTGAATGATTAATGTTAAAAAAAATTGAAATGTAGGCAGCTTCTTTATCCATTTATATGAAAATTTCAGGGCTCTGATAGAATAGGAGGGAAATTTCACCCTGACAGCGTCAGTAATGCTTTTGGTGACATTGATCCCATGGATATGTCTGATGGCATGCAAGAAGCAATGCATCGCTCTCATTTGGAAATGAGGTATATATGAGTACGTGCTCATCCTTTCTCTAGTGTTTTATCTCATATCTTCTACAATGCCAATTCTCTATATAGTGCTGGCACCATTATTAAAGGACTTATTTTCCCAGAGCAGTATTGTGGTATGCATCTTTTTCTATTACACTATTATGCTCTGCAGACATGCAGTATTTGGTTTTCAGTTGCCTATCAATTGATTCTGTTTCTGAAAGACTTGTTCTAGTATTGTTATAGCTAGGGAAATGGGAGGTGTTTGCGCTGTCCATACAAAGAAAGTATAGGATTGACAGTGGTAGGAGATGCAGAGGGGACAGAGAAGGAAGAGGGGGGGGGGGGGGTCGTTGTTGTCATGCTACTGTGCTGTTGTTTTAGCAGCTCTGGTGGGTGAATGAGAATTTGGTGTTTAGAGTCAATTTTCCAGATTCAGATATTGACGTGATTAGTTGTAAAAGTGTGTTTTTCTAATCAATATATCATGTCATTCTTTTGACAGCAATTTCTGTTGTCATGACTTGTTGAGCTTTACCATACATCTTTTATTTATTATTTTTTTAAGAGTATGATGAGAGTAAGCGCGCCTAGGCGCCTAGCAGCTTGTAAAATTTGCCAATCTTTGTGTAGAGAAACTTCAAAAGAGACATCATTTCTTGTCCTGTTTATATTTTGAAAGAAATAACTTTATTTCACATTTATTCAAACAATTTAACTTTTTGGGGGTCTCTGAAGTTTTATATAATGGCAAATTTAGGATGGAGAGTGCATGTGGTTTTGAAGTTTCTGCAGCTAGTAGATATCGTACAGATTGGGGATAATAAGGTTGGGGATTGAAATGTATTCTTGCAAGTTTTGTTGTATTGATTGTTTTGGATTAATGAGAAAAAAGGTGGAAATTGCAAAACTGTTTTGAGAAGCTCTCTTCAAAATTTATAATTACGTATTTCTTAGGGAGTTGGTATTTTCATGTGCACAATTGTGTCGGGTTATAGGTTGTACAAGCTAATAGGCTATTACTTGATGTTTCTAAAGTTATTTTCCTTGCCTGCATTGGTAGTGGAGCAGAGTATATCCGGAAAGAAATCCCTCTTGACGTTCTTCCTGCATCTTCCCTTCTCAAGCTAGATTCACCTTTGGCCTCCTTTACGGATTTGCAGCGTGTGTTGTATGAAGAGGAGAAGGCTGCTTATAACCAAGCGATATCCCAGAATATGAGGTAAACTTCTGATGGCTTCTTTTTTCTTTCCTTCTTACAGGGCATTTCTAAATTTCCTCTAATAGGTTGTTATTGTATAAAAACTTCTATAAAGGGATGGCAAGTTGCATCCGCTTACTTTCATTCATCATACATCAACATATCAAGCTTCAATGTGCAAGTTAATGGAATACTGGTGAGTAAGCTGATATTCAGGAGTACCTTTATTCTGGTCGTAAATTTTGTATATTCACTTGATACTATATATTGCAGCCTTACTCCTGCTATTGAGGCTCTTGAAGATCATCTCCGAGAAAATGAACTTCGGGTAATATTATTTTCCTCCCCACCTCTTCATCCATTGCTCTTTCTTACTTGAAACTAATAATGAAGCTTTGCCTATGAAGTTGGGGATGTTGACTGAAGAAGCAAAAGTTCTGGAGGCTGAAGCCTCCAGAGGGACTGAGGGCACAGTAGGATCTCCTCTTCGAGTTGATGGATATCGAGGCAGTCCTGCTCGTGCTCATAGTTTTGGTGAATCTATGAATGCAAGAAGTCCTGCTCCTGCTAGTCCAAGTAGCAGGAGTAGAAAGGGTTTTTGAAAATCCAACAGTAGAAAAGGTTTCGTCGAGTTTTTGAAGGTGATGCTTGCTCAAGATAGGTTTTGGGTTGGAGGATAAATGTATAATTTCACTATCATACTTCCCCATTTCGGTGATGTGCAGCTTATTGAAGCAATGCTCTGTAGCAAGGTTGTGTTATATAGATAGTGTCTTGTAAATGTTGATGAATCAAGCAATGAATGCAATTGTTTGTTTTTTTTTTTTAGGAATTGTTTAATGGAGTAGAGCCACATCTTTTGGACTTATATCATTCATAATTTCACTTTAGTTCAGTTTAACTCGTTCAGTTTAACTCTTTAAGTCTAGTTTCATTTAGCTCAACTTAGCTCCATTCATTCTGTATGTTTCCGATTGCCAAATCCATAACTCCGTACATAAAAAAAAAATAAAAAAATAAAAAAAATAAAATAAAATCAAATACTCCCTCTGCAAACAGTTATCTGCAACAACTATACCTTTTACGGACTCCTAGACAAAACTTTTAGAGAAGTTTAATTACATTTTGGTGTGTTTAATTAAGTTTTATATTGGAGGGAAAGAAGAGAGAGAAAGTGGTCCAACTTGATTTACTTTATGCATGTGGGTACTTTTGAGTGGGAAAATGGAGAGAGAAAGTGGTCCACTCAATTGTTTTGGGCGGAAATCTGTCACCAAAATGTAGAGGGAATGTACTTTTCCCTCTATTTTTTTTATGTGAAAAATTGAAAATTTCAGATTTCCACCAAAACTTTGAAAATTTTCAAATTTCACCAACATTTCACACATTCATTCACACTTTCAGCAAGTTTAAAACAATTCAAGTGCCATATAAAAGGGCACCTACCATAGAGTTAGCAATAAATACAGACCATAAGAATTCAGTTTCTTCCAAAACAAACCCCCATCAAATCCTAACATAATTAGTCCAAAATATATACTGCCTAAACTAAGATTAGTCCTAAACTAAGGGCAGCAGTAGGGTTCCGCTTCTTTGAGGTCTTCACAAAAAACTTCAGCAAAAAAAAAAACTTCATCACCTTCATTCACCATCTGCAAAAAAAAAGAGAGGGGACCACACACATGGAAGAATATTTTGATCAGGATTTTTTTGATATAAAACAACTACTCAACGAGAGACCATATCAGTGCTGATGAAAGCATGGAAGAAGACTTCAGTGAAGGGGATAACAATGACCAGGAAGGGGACAACACTGATGAGGAACATCAGACACAAGTACAACCACAAGCAAAAAGCAACTTAGTGTTGATACAAAAAGGCAACTGGTAGATGATTTTCTACTCAACATGCATGAGGGGGAACTCAAAAGGGGATTTTTGTCACACATTGTAAGAAAGTATGGAATTTACAGAAGCACATCACAAAGGGTCTGGAAATTTGTTAAGGAAAGCATAGCTCAAGGGAATGTAATTGATGTCAGAAGCAGAAAACTGGGCAAAACTGGTCCAAAACCTAGGGACATATCAGATGAGTTCTTGCAATCTGTGCCTTTGTACAAAAGGACAACAGAGAGGAGCTATGCAGCTGCTCTCAAAATCTCCCATGGATTTCTCCACAAGCTAAAGAAAAAGGGCAGATTAAGAACACATACAGCAGCAAACCATTCAGCACTCACATCTAATCACAAAGTGGCAAGGCTGAAGTGGGCACTGGGGCACATTCATCCCATTCCAGCAGTTGGAAATCCAACTTTTATTGACATGCAACAGGATATTCACATTGATGAGAAATGGTTCTACATGAACCCTGAAACTAGGAGGTTCTATCTTTTACCAAAGGAAGAAAACCCATACAGATGTCAGCAATCAAAGAGGTATAAAATCAAAGCAATGTTCATGGGGGTCATTGGCAAACCATTGTATGACAGCAATGGAAACATGCTACATGATGGGAAGTTTGGTATTTTCCCATTCATCTACCAACAGAGGGCAAAGAAGAAAAGCAAGAACAGAGATACAGGGGTATTGGAAACTAAGGCAACAGAGAGTGTGAACAAGGAAGAAATCAGGAAGATGTTGTTGAACAATGTTATACCAGCAATCAAAAGACAATGGCATCCAAGTCTTCCTAAAGATATTAACATCTAATGGGACAATGCAAGGCCTCATCAGATTCCTATGGATGAGGAATTCAATGCAGCCTGCACATCTGATGGGTTCAACATTCAAATGAAATATCAACCACCACAGTCACCAGACCTTAATGTGCTTGATTTGGGACTCTTTAAGGTCATACAGTCATTAAAATATCAATCATTCCCCCACCAAAATTGAGGAATTAATAGAGAAAGTCTATGAGGCTTATGAGTGGTTTGATCCCATACTGAACAAGTACACATCGATCACTTTGCAAGGGGTGATGCAGATGATTATGGAAAAGGAAGGGGGCAACAACTTCAATCCACCACATATGGGTAAGAAGAGGTTGGACAGCCTAGGTATGCTTCCTGAACTGTTGGAATGTGATAAGGGACTCATTCAACAAGCAGTGCACCACCTCAACACACTTTTCATTGAATTTAATCAAGACATTCCAGACAATACTCAGCTGGAGGTGGATGCAGATTAGGGACAAGGGCAGAACACCATTCAAGCAAGACATGACTTCCACACATAACCAAACAAGCTAAGTGATCAAAACAAGTTTTTTGACAATGTAAGCAACTGTATTTTGTTTATGCTTAGACTGATTTGGTTATGTGTATTTTGCTAGATTAAATTTTCAAATTTAAGGCAGTCATGTGATGAATAGGTATGATCAGAAACTTTTTGAGTTGTAAAATATTGTGCTGAAATGAATTAAGTATGGATTGACATAGTTTGTTTATATTCCATCAGTTAGGTTACTTTGTTTTCATTGGAATGGTGTAAGGTGGATACCTCAACAACAACTGTGAACCACACTTGTTGGAGCAAAGCCTCCTAACACATTCAAGTCAAAGTGAGTCCCTTCATCATTTGGAAGTTCTGCATTAAGACATGAATCATAGGGGGACTCAAACATTTATAGCACACCAACACAATTGCAAGAACTAAAGGCATCAATTCAATAGGATTGTGTAGGCACCAACACATGCCTCATCATGCATCAAACTACCATTCCCTTGGCCATTATGGGACTGATTCAACAAGCAGCAACCAAACACACTTCACAAAGCCTAATTCACCATCACATTGAACAAAAGCTACCACAAAACAACACCATAAATACAGCAAACCATACCACATGTTGAGAGCAAGGTTAAACCATCATCATAGAAGCAACATCATAGAAGCAACATATGTCAGAGCACTCAACACACACACAAGGTAAAACCAGCATCATATAAGCACCATATATCATAGCATCAACTCAATCACCAACAATGAGTACTAGAGACTGCCACAAACCATAAACTAACATAAGAGACTCAATAAGCTAGCAAAAAAATGTTCAAAATTAACCAGCATATGCAACAACATTAAAAACCAAAATTAGGGTTCAGAAATAGTTACGCTGCGCAGATCAGTTGTTGGGAGGGAAATCATTAGGGTACTTGGCCTTAAGGACAACCAAATAGTCAGGGTCCCAGTCGCTGTAGTCCCGGTTGAAGATAGATCCGACTCTTTTCTTCCCCGGTGAGTTGGAGGAAGACGCAGTGGACTTCAGGGACTCAGGCAAGACCCTCCCCCCATACACAGGAGAGTCAGGGAGCACCACAACCTCTACAGGGGGCTGCGCAACTTGAACCTCAACACATTCAGAGTCATCAGCAGATTTCTCGACCACCGCTAGAGCGTTGGAAGTGCCAGCATCACCCTCCTCAACATTGTTGAGGCCCATCTCCCCACCCGATGCATCTTTCAAGCCTAGATCTGGCCCCTCCCCCTCCATAGAAGCCTCCTTCTTCTGCTCCTCTTCGTCGCTGGACACGTACTCTGACAGTTTCGCTCCAATTTTCCCTCGAACGTATCTCCGGAAGTACGATGTGCAACGACGAGCTGGTTTAAGTTGACCACTACCTCGCTGCAGCTTATAAAGTGTAGATCCCTCAGATATACGAGAAGGGGTGTTGTTTCGAGGGGACTCATTTGGATCTGGGTTCATTTTCGAATAGGGAGCAGAGAAAATTTGGAGTTAGGGTTTCGCAGGAGTGAGAACAGGAGAGAGATCAGGAGAGAGAACAGGAGAGAGATCAGGAGAGAGAGTGAGAAAATGAAAGTGAAACGAGGGGTTTTTATGAAGTTTTGGAGATTTCTCCAGAATTGATGAAGGAGGCATCGTAATCGAGAGAAATTCAATGAAGAACATTGAATGAGGCAGTTGGGAGATGAGAGGGTGTGGATGTGAGAGAGTGTGAAGGTGTTAATTTTTGGTGGGAATCATTAGAGTGTAATAGATGATTATGATGTAATTAAAACAAGTTACACAACATTAAATTTAAAAGTAAGGGTAAATCAGTCTTTTACCACTTACATTATTACTATAAAAGGAAACAAAAAAATTTGTTGCACATAATAGAAGCAGCCATTTTTGACAAATGTTGCAGATAATTGTGGGTGAAGGGAGTATAACGAGTCTTTACCGTTTTGCCCTTTGTGCATAATACTATAAAATCTCATTTCTACTCAATAATCTTGCTCAGTAGTTGAGGGTGTGTTGGACCAATCTTGGAGGAAAACATGTTTTATCAATATCCCTTACTATCATAGTGTTGTATTGAAACACATTGCCACAATTGGATTTCAATGTCAAATTAGAGTTTAATATACGTTAATGTATTTTTATACGTTTAATCGAAGTAATATCTATTGCACGAGCCACGATGTCAAAACTAATATTTATTACATAGGATCTTGCTAACGAACGCCCCCGGGACGTTGGATAAACATTTAAAATAATACCTAAAGTGGTATTAATTTGGGAAAGTATGACAACATCACGCGTCGATCGGTGTAATTAATGTTCATTTTAATTTAATCTTTCTACTTTTAGGTAATTTATCCAACGCCCCCGGGATGTTCGTTAGCTTTTGCCTATTACATATTATACCAATAATTTATATACAAACGCCTACCAACATACTCGTATTATAAAATTTGCTTGTTATAAATGAATAATTAAAACAAAATCAGGTGAACTAATTCCAACAGATTTCCTCAAAAGCTAGCATATAGTTGAGTAATTTTGGTCTAATATTGACCATAATTTTTATTTATACACACTAGTCCGAACTTTTTTACTTTGTATTCATAGCTCCATAGGGTTCTTCATCCTACATATCTACTCCCTCCGTTTTTAAATACTTACTTTATTTTTTATTTCAAACTGTTTTTAAATACATATGCTATTTTCTTATTTGGAAAACTTTTGCAATATTTAATCATTTATCTCAATTAGTTGACCTAATATAAAATATATTTTTTAATTTTTTTTGTTCTTCCACCTATTTTGCTACCTCAACAGAGAAATGAAGTAAATATTTAAAAAGGTGGTGAGTACTCGTTAAAATAGGGAATAAAATATTGGTATTTCAATCACAGCAAATTAATTCCATAAAAAAACGGCTAAACCTGAGCTCTGCAGCTTTTGGGTTTCATGCGCTTTCACTCTCTCCACCAGTTTCTCTCTCCTACTTTCTCTCTCTAACTACTTCGAATCACTGCCATGGCTGCCAGTAAGTCCCTCTTTCTCTCTCCTCTTTCAATCAAACCCTTCAATTTCAATCAAGTTTGCATCTTTCTGCTGTGATCATCACTTTCCCTTGTGTTTATATACCCATTGTCTTGTTATGGTTGTTGATTTTGCTCTTAATTTTATGAAATTTGGTTTATGGGTTCTGTTGAATAATGCTTATAAATTAGTGGGTGAATTAGATTTAATTTTATCACGCCCTATAAATTTGATTTATTGTATTCTTATCTATATTGCATGATTTTTGTTGTTGTATTGTTTGCATCGAAATTGTGTTTCAATCGAATGAAAAAAAAAATTGTTTCTTGAAAATTATTCAATTGAATTTGGTAAGTTCTATCATGCTGTTGGAATTGGAAATGGAGCTGGAATTGAAAGGCCTGAACATAGTAAACGTTTCTGTAGTTTAGTTACTTAAATGTTGGTCTTCTATTATTTTTCTTCATGTAGGGATTGTAAATTTAATTAGTAGATTGACATTGTAACTAATTAAGTCTAATTTCATATATTGTTAGTTGATTCTATGAGCCGAGTTCGTTAGATGTTTGCATTTGGTGTTAGTATGAAAATCTTTGAGAAAAAATTAACCAATGGATATTAGTTTTTACCTGCTTGGTTGTGTGAAAAATTAGAATGACATGAAGGTTATTTACATGGCTTAGTGTTGTATGTCGTAGTATGTTTTGGCAAATGTTGGATCAACATGGCTTTTATATACCGAAGGGGATGATGTACTTTAATATTTAACAAGTGCCTTGCTACTTACTTGGCAAGTGGCAACTGAACCATACAATAAATCTGACCCGAACCTAACCTGTTGACCCAAATTGCCACCCCTATGCAACAAGGCATAATTTGTAACCTTTTGAACATGTTTGTGATCGGGTAGCATTGAAAACTCGATAAGTAGTTTATTTGCAATTTTGGCTTGCTACTGTTCCATCACCTCTTATTCCCACCGAAGATGAAACCTTGTCTTTCCATTATCCCATGGAAGTCAGTATGTGTTTGGAAGATATCAATCCTATTATAAGCTCATCAAATCACAAATTTATCTTTTGCCTGATTTCAGGTAGCTTAGGTATTTCAAACACACAAATTTTGAGCTCGAAGCTTAACTACAGGAGCAGCTTATCTTTGACATCCTTCCCACGTGTTATTCGAGCTGGAAGTAGGCCAAAGTCATGGAAGCAATCAGGTTTAAAAATGTCACAAACTTCACATAAAGAATTAATTATATGCCGTGCTCAAGCATCATTGACCACTGAAAGTAAGTGATAACAGAATCCTTTTTATCCTTTGTTACTTGTTCTTTACTTTTGCTACTATTACAGGCTTGCGGCTAATGCTATAGTTTTAACTTGAAATCATATCATCAATTTTATCATTGCTGTTGCAATGCATGTGTAGTCCG